CTCCTCTTTCTTTCTCTTATTCCTCCCTTCCTAACCTCCCTTTATTCTTCTATTTCTTCCTTTTCCCTCCCCCTCTTTTCTCTCACTTCGTTCATCACCTTTCTCATTTTTTTTCTTTTTTCTTTTTTTGCTTTTCTCAATTCTCACATCCCTTCTACTACCTCTTTCTCCCTTCCTCCATTATTCTCTGCTTCATTCTCTCTTTCTCCCTATCTCCCTTTATTCCCTGCTTCATTCTCCCTTCCCCCCTCCCCCTCTTTCCTCTTCTGTCGTTCATTACCTTCCTCATTCCCCGCATGCCCCCCCCCCCCCCCGGATGCCCATGGCCCCTCGTCGCGTTCCTCATTTTAACGGCCAGAAATGACTCATGGAATTGGCCCCGAGAAATACACGGCTTCGCGGATGGCCACATCGTTCAGCGGGGAGCCTCCTAATGGACGTGTTTGCTGGGATTCCCGGTTTCCTTTGGGGATTTATCGCTTTGCTTGTATAGGTAAACACGGACATGCGCGCACGTACAGGTACACATAGGCCCGGGCACTCGCAGGGGCAGTCGCACGCCCGCGAGCCCGAATGGACGTACGTACGAATGCGTATACACGAGGGTATACGTACATGCATACTCTAATCTCTTTCTGTGTCTTTATCCCCCTTCTCCCGATTCTCCTTTATTCCCCTCTTCCATCCCTTCTTACTCTCTCACTTCCTCTGTCTTAAAAATAGGATCCATTCGTTCAAGAAAAGGCAGAAATCAAAGAGAGAGAGAGAGAGAGAGAGAGAGAGAGAGAGAGAGAGAGAGAGAGAGAGAGAGAGAGAGAGAGAGAGAGAGAGAGAGAGAGAGAGAGAGACATACCGACATACCGACATCTAACAGAAGAAAAAAATGCGCACAGACTCTCAGACACACTCGCACGCACTCGCATTCGCACTCGCCGTCCCACCTGCCGGGGCAAGATTCGGACATCATTAAAACTAACGATGGTCGGCCCTCTTGCCCTCCTGCAAGACGACCTGTCTGTCGATCTTGTCTGTCTGCCTGTCTGTCTGTCGATAAGGCCGCAACTTGTATGTTATTATATTATCCTTTGATGTTGGATTTTAATTTTTATGGGAGGTTAATTTTCGGGGGGATGAATGACGGGAGAGAGAGGGAGAGGGAGAGGGAGAGAGGGAGGAAGAGGAAGGAAGGATAAGTAGAGAGAGGGAAAGGGATAGAGACAGAGAGAGAGAACGGATTCACCGATATCTGACATGGAAAAGGAATTGTCAACACATACACTTGGGAAACATAAACACACACTCGCTCTCGCGCACACACCTGGAAGCAAGCCAAGGTCAGAGTCGCTTTCAGGTGTCGGACACGTTTGTTGACAAAAGCGGGCCTTGGTTGGGCTTAACACTTGTGACCGAGCGAGATCCGACCTGAGACGGACATACAGAGGCGCGCACGGGGGGGCCGAGGAGGGGAGGGGGGGAGTGAGGGAAGAGAGGGATAGGAGAAGGGAACAGGGCATGGGGGGAGAGGGGAAAGGGCCAGAGGATTGAAGGGGGAAGGGGGGGGCCAAGAAGAGTGAGGGGAGGGGAGGAGAAGGGGGAAGGGGCAAGAGGATTGAAGAGGGGAAGGAGGGGGGCAGGGGGGGGGGCGAGCAGGGTGTGCCAGGGTGTTCTTCTTCTAGTCTTTAACCCCCACACCTCTGCGGTCGGGCTCCTACGTGTCCGGAACGCGGTTCTACATTTTACCCCGACGGATTTATCGATCTCGGCAACATCTGAAGGATAATTATTTCTTTTATATACGTGTACCTTTTGCTTTGGGAGAGATCGCGAGATAAGAGGATCAAGTCGACGGCGATTGCGCTGCGAGGAATATCTTCGAATATCTTTTTTCTCTTTTTCTTTCTCCCGCTCTCTCTCTCTCTGTCTGTCTCTCTCTCTCTCTCTCTCTCTCTCTCTCTCTCTCTCTCTCTCTCTCTCTCTCTCTCTCTCTCTCTCTCTTCTCTCTCTCTCTCTCTCTTTCTCTCTCTCTTCCCTCCCTCCCCTCCCTCCCTCCCTCCCCCCCCCCTCCCCCCCCCCCCCTCTCTCTCCTCTCTCTCTCTCTCTCTCTCTCTCTCTCTCTCTCTCTCTCTCTTCTCTCTCTCTTCTCTCTCTCTTCTCTCTCTCTCCCTCCTCTCTCTCCTCTCTCTCCTCCCTCTCTCCCTCCCTCCCTCCCTCCCTCCCTCCCCTCCCTCCCTCCCCCTCCCTCCCCCCCCCCTCCCCCCCCCCCCCCCTCTCTCTCTCTCTCTCTCTCTCTCTCTCTCTCTCTCTCTCTCTCTCCTCTCTCTCTCTCTCTCTCTCTCTCTCTCTCTCTCTTCGGGAGAAGGATTAGTAGCGTCTCAGGAGGAGATCTTCGCCTCAGCCTGTTTATGTCGATTAGGCGCAGCATCCCGAGGAGGCGAGATCGCTAAACGAGATTGGCTTTCAGGTCGCGTCGTCGAGGTCACGGGAGCTACGCGCAGTCAAGCCCCGGGAGGAGATCCGACAAGAATTATGTTTGCTAGGAAGTCTGCGATGCTTTCAAGTAGATCTGAGGGCGCCGAAGGAGTGGTCTCTTTGTAGTTCAGTTTAAATGGATTTCTCTTCTTTTTTTTCGTTGTTTATTTCTGGTTTGTTCTGTCGTGTGCTGTTATTCCCTTTCGTTCCCCCCCCCTTTTTTTTTTACTTTTTTTTTGAGGGGGGGGGGGTGTATGCGTGTGTGTGGAATTTTTCATTTGGTCTCTCCCACCCTGGGGAGTGAAATATTTCCCGTCCGTTGTGTGCTGTGTTTGCACGAGGTCCTTCCCTTTCGCCCTTAAATTTCGTCATATTTGTCGAGTGGTCGGCCGGGATAACTTTCCCTCCTCTCCTTTGCATCCGCCTTTCTCTCTCTCTCTCTTTCTCTCTTCTTCTCTACTTCCTTCTCTCTCCATCCCTTCCTCATCTTTTTCCTCTTCATCATCTTCCCTCTCCTTACAACTTCTTTTTTTCTCCCTTCTCTTTTATCTCTCTCTCTCTCTCTCTCTCTCTCTCTCTCTCTCTCTCTCTCTCTCTCTCTCTCTCTCTCTCTCTCTCTCTCTCTCTCTCTCTCTCTCCCTCTCTCCCTCTCTCGCCCTCCCTCCCTCCCTCCCTCCTCTCTCTCTCTCTCTCTCTCTCTCTCTCTCTCTCTCTCTCTCTCTCTCTCTCTCTCTCTCTCTCTCTCTCTCTCTCTCTCTCTCTCTCTCTCTCTCCCTCTCCCTCTCTCTCCAGGTGGACGGAGGAGGAGGAGGAGCGGCCGGCCAGGTAGGACAGAGCTATGGAATCCTGAGACGTGTGTGCGAGCGGACATTACTGACCGGATTATCCTTCACCCTCCTTCCTCCCTTCCCCCCTCCCCCCTCACTCCCCTCCCCTGTCCTCTCTGCCCTCCCCTCCTCTCGCCTCACTTCTCTTCTCGTATTTTCGCTTATTTCTCTTCTCATCTCTTTTCCTCTCCTCTCTATGCCTTGTCTCATGACTTCTCTTCTCTCCTTCTTTCTTCTTCATTTCTCTTTGGTCCTCTCGTCTCTCTTCTCATCTCTTTTCGCATCTCTCTACTTTCCTTTTTATCTTTTTTCTTACTGTTCCTCTTTCATATTCTCTCCTCCTTGTTCCGCCTTCTTGGAATTCTTGTGTCTGTTCCTGATTATCTCTCCTTCATTGGTTACTATTTGTATTCTCTCCGTTGGCCTCCTAACCTTAATTATCGGTTGGTTTCTTCTGTCTCCCTCATTCGGAGGTCATCTCATGATCTCGTTATCGCCCCATCGGCTCTTTTGTCTATCGCATTTCTTTTCCTCTCCTCGCTTTCGTGGTATTTTTTTCTTTTCCTGTTCCTCCCGTTTCGTTTGTAGCTTCCTTTTATCTTTCTCTTTCTCGTCCTTCCTCCTTCCTCTTCCTTCGCTTGTTCCTCTTGCTGCATCCTATTTCTCGGCCTTCTCCTCTTCCTCCTCGTTTTTCACCTCTTCCTTCCTCTTCCTCCTCTTCCGTAACGTCTCTCTCTTCCTTTTTCCACCTTCTTCTCACTCTTCTCTCCACCTCCTTCCCCTCCCGTCCGCCTCTCCCTCCGCCGGGTGTCTGCAGAAGCCGCGGCGGTCGGGGCACCAAGCATTGCAAATGTATATATGTTAAGAGGTATTCCGAGCTGGTTACTCCGGGCATTTGCATACTGGCGACGGCCTCCTTATTGATTGGCTGGGACTCGGCTGGGCAGTCCGGGCGTGTGTACATAAGTCGCGGTGGGCCGGCCGCGCCTTCGTCCGCACGCGGGCTCGGATGGCTTCCGTCTTGGCTCTCTTGGGGTTTGTACTCTTGTACTCTGTCTGTCTGTCTATATTTATCTTTCTCTCTTTTACTCTTGTTTTCTTTCCTTAATAGCAGCCTGTTTTCTTCATCTCTTCTCCGACTTCCTTTCTAACCTTCCTCTCCCCCTTCCCTCCCTTTCATCTACCCCCTCGTATTTACCCATCCCTCTTCCCATCTCCCCATCCCCTTCCCCCCTTACCCTCCCTCACCCCCTCATTATTCTTGGCATTGCGTTGATTCCAATGGCGGCGGGATCTTAGGGGGGGGGGGGGGGTAGCGCCACCGTCCTCTCGACGCTCTCTTGTTTTATCAGCGACCGTTTGTTTGCGTATTTTGATTTTTTTTTTATAGTGTATGTGATGTATGGCGGATGGGACGGAGGTCTCGTGGCCCCAAGGTCGTGGTAGCGTCGAAGCGTTGCATGCACGACGCGCCCTCTCGCTCGAGCCTTTGTTTCTTCGGCGCGGGCGTAGGGCATGGGGCAAGGGGTGGGGGTGGGGGGTGGGGCAGGGGGTGGTGTACCCTTTGCATGTATATGTGTACGGGCGGTGTAGAGGTTCAATTGTACATTTTTCAATTGTGTGTAATTTTCGTATATATGTATGTATTTATATCTATTGTTTGTGTTTGTTTGATGACGAACTAATTTCCTTTCTTCTTTGCAGGTGTCGCAGTGTTGGATGGTGTTGATGGGCGGGCGTGGGCGGGAGCAGCGCCCCCCGCGGCACTATGTGTGAGTGTGGCACTCCAGACGACGCCCCCGGCCCGGCCCGCAGGCCCGCGCGGGTGGACCAAGAGGCGGGCCAGTCTGCGGGCCACACACATACCCGCACGCTGATGGGGACCAGATGTGGGCCGAGGGCGAGGGGGGTGGGCGTGAGTGTTCTAGTCTTTTTGGTGTTAGTGTTTGGGGCGTGTGTGGCAGCTGGACACCGGACACACCGTGCCAGCGGCGGTGCCAGCGGCGGTGACGGTGGCGCGGACGCCGCCGAGAGCGAGCACCCCCTCGTGGCGCAGTTCTGGACGCGCAACCAGAGTCTGGAGCTCCAGCACATGGTGTACAACAGGGGCGCGGGCGTCCTGTACGTGGGCGGGACCAACCGGCTGTGGGCCCTGGGCGTGGAGCGGCTGGAGCTGCGGGCGCAGGTGGAGACGGGCCCGCGGTTCGACTCGCCGCGCTGCCACGCCTCCGGCTGCGGCCCCGAGCGCCGCGTGGCCAGAGTACTTACCGACAACGTGAACAAGGTGCTGGTGCTGGACCCCGAGGCCAGCACCCTCATCATGTGCGGCTCCGTGTCGCAGGGCGCGTGCGAGAAGTTCCGCACCGCCAACATCTCCCTCACGCCAGAGTTCCTCCCGCGCTCCGTGGCCGCCAACGACCCCCTGTCGTCCACGTTCGCCTTCGTGGGGCCGGAGCGCTACAACCCGTGGGGCGGGTCGTCGGCGCTGTACGTGGGCACGACCTTCACCACCGTGGGCGACTACCGCCACGACGTCCCCGCCATCTCCACGCGCAACCTGTACAACCTGGACTACGCCGAGTTCTCGTTCTCGGAGCAGTCGCTGCTGCGCATCGACGTCAAGTACCGCGACCACTTCCTGGTGCAGTACGTGTACGGCTTCAACGCCAGCGACTACGCGTACTTCGTGACGGTGCAGAAGAAGTCGCACCTGCCGGGCCAGGAGGAGTCGGGCTACATCTCGCGCCTGGCCCGCACCTGCATCACGGACGCCAACTACGACTCGTACACGGAGATCACGCTCGAGTGCCAGGGCGCCGACGGCACCAACTACAACCTGGTGCAGGACGCCAAGCTGGTGAGCGCCGGCAGCGACCTGGCCTCCAGCATGGGCGTGGGCGTGGGCGACCCCATCCTGGTGGGCGTGTTCGCGCCGTCGCAGGGCCACACGGCCAGCCCCGAGGCGTCGTCGGCCGTGTGCGTGTACTCCGTGCGGGACATCGAGGCCAAGTTCAACGAGAACATCCACATGTGCTTCAACGGCTCCATGCAGTACCGCAGCATGGAGTACATCTCGGGGCCCATCCTGGACGGCAAGTGCCCCGCCGCGGGGGTGAGTAGCCTTTCTGTTCTTTGCAGGTTGAGGGGGACATGTTTGTGCTACATTTTCCTTTTTTTTTTTTTTTTTTTCAAATGCCAGAGTAAGTAACAGTGTGAAAGTCGGAAGTCATTGCGGTGTTTAGCTGTTAAAAAAAAGAAAAAAAAGAAAAGAAAGAAAGCGTAAAGAAATTGGTAGCAGCCAGCTTGTTTCAGTCATTTGTGTTTGATGTGGTTCGAGTTCATCCTGCGACGCCCCACTTGTTCATCCTCCTCGACCAGCCCGCCCGCGACACACTCGACGGAGTGTTTATAGATTGTAGCGATAGCAGCGGGGTACTTAGTGCCAGCGCGGAGAGCCCGGCCGCGTTAACGGTGCCGCCCTCGGTTGATAACAAGGTGCTAGCGAGGCACACAGGCACCCATGCCAGGTCGTTGACGTTAACCAGGCGCTGACAGATGCCTCCCCCGCGCGGCGGTCGGAGTGGTCGAGAGCCCCATCCTCCGGCGCGAGGTTTTGGACCCTATGGCGTCCCTATCGTTGTCCCTCTTGAGCCCGAGTCCTCAGCCTTGCTTAAGAACGCTATAAATTGAGAAAATAAACGAGGGTTAAGTCTTAATCCAAGTTGACGCGGTTAAGTTTAATAAGTTTCCATTGGATTCTCGGTCGCTTTACATATCATGCGGTTTTCGTTGTAGAGAAGCGCCTTTTATATGGGACGATTTTCCCGGCCGGATTCTCTTTTAAGTGATAAAAGAGAAGAGAAGGGATGTTGAAGCCCTTTTATGCGAGGTTTTATATCAGGCGGAGAGGGAGAGGGAGAGGGAGAGGGAGAGGGAGAGGGAGAGGGAGAGGGAGAGGGATAAGTAGGGGGAGGGGATAAAGGGGAGGGGGAAAGAAGAAATATAAAGATAGAAAGCGAGAGAGAGGGAGAAGGTGAGGGGAAGGATAGGGGGAGGGAGAGGGAAAGGGAAAATGAAGAAAAAGGGAAGGGGAAAATAGAGATAGGGGGATGGGAAGAGATCAAATTCCATGAGAGAGAGAGAGAGAGAGAGAGAGAGAGAGAGAGAGAGAGAGAGAGAGAGAGAGAGAGAGAGAGAGAGAGAGAGAGAGAGAGAGAGGGAGAGAGAGAGAGGGAGAGAGAGAGAGGGAGAGAGAGAGAGAGAGAGAGAGAGAGAGAGAGAGAGAGAGAGAGAGAGAGAGAGAGAGAGAGAGAGAGAGAGAGAGAAAGGAAAAAAATATATTGGTACCTATTCGAACCGGTATAAATGAGCGCGGACAAGTCCCTCTCGATCGGTACACGTCCCTGGATCGTCGCGGATTAACTTCATTACAGGTTGAGGATTACTTGTAGTTTACGATTTTCGATTATTTTTCTTTCCGAAATCCTGTCGTGCCCAGCTGTTTCGGGAAAGGGGGCGGGGGAGGGGGAGTACAGACCGCCCCTCCCCAAAAATGCATGTAAACAAGGCCTTTGTTTTGGATACGTTAATGCTAGACTGTATAATTAACCTGGATTTTCCCCTCTCCCCCCCCCCCCCTGATATTTCTCCCTGCCCCACCTCCACCCCACACAGTCACTTTCGAAGTATATTTATTATTTATATTCTTTTTTTTTGCGTGGTAAGGGACCGCCAGGCGAAAGGAGTTGATGAAGGCGCCGTCAACCGGAGCGAGGCGGGCGGCTAAGCAAAACATTTAATTGGCGCCGAATTAAAGACGCCTCACGCCTTGGCCCCGGTGTTTGGAGAAGCTTATAATTGATAGGAGGGTGTCGGCGCTGCCACCGAGATGTAGAAATGAACACAAGACGCGCGACAGTGAGCGAATTCTGTTTGGGCAGCTCGACGTCGCGCTGTTAGTCCGCGCTTGAGGGACTGTTCGGAGGGGGTTCTAGGGCAGGAGGAGGCGGGCGTCCGGAGGCGAGGTGGGTTGTCCTGCCTTCTCTCTTGCTGCTTCTTTTCCTTCTCTCATCTCTTATCTCCGTTTCCGTCTCTGAAGTCCTCGATGCTTTTAATTTTTCTCTCTCTCGATTCGCCTTCGTGGTCGATGTTTGGCCGGCTAGCGAGCGTCCGCCACGTCGGCTGAGAACCCGGGGAGCATCCGCGTATCGGGAGGTTTTGCGACTATCGTAAGTAGCCCCGGGAGATGCAACAATACCCTCGTTAGCGCCAGGTGATCGCCTTTCGCCCTCTTCCCTTGCCTTGCCTTGACTGGTCGTCTCTTGCCTTGCCTTCTCTTGCCTTTGTTGCTCCTCTTTGCCTCTTCCTCCATTTGCCTTCCCTTTTCCTTGCCTTCTCTTTTTCTGTCTTTCACTTCTTTCCCCTTGCTTTACCTTCGTAGACCACCGTGAGTACCAAAGAGGACCGCGGGCCGAAGGAGAGTCGGTATCAACGAGTAAGGTTAACGAGATGGTATGGGGGGGAGGGGAGGGGAGGGGACGAGGAAGAAGAGAAGAGGAGAGGAGGAGAATAGGTCTTGGGGGTGAAGGTGAGCAGGAGTGAAGGAGAATAAG